AAAATATAGTAACCGCGTCATTCATGGATAGTCATTAAAAAAATTGAATTTTAATTAGGGAAATTACTAATACTCCTTTTATCTATTAATTAAATAAACTAAATTAATATTAATAATTGATTGACTGAAACTGGATCTCAGGGTTATCACAAATTACTAAATTCTCATTTGATTAGATCATATATATATATAACAAGAAAGTACCAGCAGGTCACAAGTTCAAATACATATTTGTTGACATAATTTATTTAATTCTAATTTTAATTATATTTTAAATATTTTAGGGGCCATGGAGGAACAAATTGATATAAATTAAAACGTTTTTTTTAATGAAAACTATTATAATCCAAACATATGTTTGGTGCACACATTTTTAAATTGGTATAATTGTATATTTATATTTGTTGGCTCTGTATTTTCTTAATCTAAAACTAAAATGATCGATCATTTTGTATTTATATTACCTTATAAATCAGATTTATTAAAAGTTTAAAAACAATTTTTAATACACAAAGTCTTAAAAATAACTCATAATGTATTAAATATACTACTTTATACATTCAGTCTTAAAATCTTTTAATCTACAATTTAATTAACATATAGTGCAAGTTACTAATGCACATTATTACTCTTTCTTTTCATGTTCCCAAGATACTTTTGACACATTTTACTCATGTTTTCACCCTCCAATACCTCTATGTCTTCTCTTCATCCCTCAATGTGAGATTCGAACTGATATTCACTATAAGTTATTAAAAATTCTCTCATTCATCTCTCATTCAATCGCTCTAGAACTCTCAGTCTCGCTCTCGATCTCTTGATTCTTTGCTCTTTGTATAAATCGAACATATTTTTGGAGTCGTTTAAATATGTTGGATTTTAAATATATTGGATTTTAAACTGTCATACAATTTTTTTCATCGATAGACTGTAATTGGAACCATAACTCTTATTTATTCAAATTGTATTAATATGTAAGACCAAGTGTAACTTATATCATCGTTAAATCTTCTTTAATAAAACCAGTGAATCTTCAAAATCGTTAAAATTCATGGCTCTCGCTGCATTACACGGATACAAAACTAGTAAAAGATTAAAAAAAAAAAAAAACTTACTACTTTACGTTATTAAGAAAAAGAGTATGTTTATTTTATAAAATCTTAATCCAAATTTATGTATGCTTTAATTATATATTAACCATTTAAGATATTATTTAATCAAATTTAACACACAATTAAATGTTATTTTATGTATGTAATTAAAGTTAGAATTTAGTGACAGATCGATTATAATGGAAGGAGAAGAAAAGGGTTTTTAACGGCCCTTGCATTTAGGGTTGTAAACAAATACGAAAAGTGGCTTGTTCATGTTCGTTTGTTTAACTTAACTGAACAAACGAACGAACACGAACGGTAAACGAACGAAAATATTTGTGTTCGTGTTCGTTCGTTTAGAAATCAGATGTGTCCGTGTTCGTTCGTTAACATTCTAAACGAACGAACATAAACGAAAGGGCCAAACGAACATAAGCTAACAGGTCTAAACGAACATAAATAAACATGCGTAAACGAACATAAACGAAATGCCTAAACGAACATCACTACTTGTCGTTCAATTAACTATTACATACCAATTATCCATAGTTTAAACATACACAAAACAATCATCATTCATCAACCATCATCATTTGAACAAAAAAAAAACAAATCACCGTCATCATTTGACAAAAAATGAAAAAAGTAAAATTTTTAAATAAAACAAAATGATGATAAAACTTAAATCTAAATAA